AGGGTAATTGAAATTTCAGTAGTTGTTGTGAGGCAAGAAGATGGTTTCAATACAAGGCAGAAAGGAAACATGAAGTGATGGGGCCAGTGGTTTTGTAGCCACCTGGCCCAGCGTTTGCTTCCTTTTGGCCCAGGTACAGCGGAACTGCTGCCTGACCCTGTGTAACTTCAGCATTCCCGAGGAGCTGGAGTTCCAGTACCGCCGGGTCAACGAGCTGCTGCTGAACATCCTCAACCAGAGCCGGCAGGACGAGTCCATCCAGCGCATCGCTGTGCACCTCTGCAACGCTCTGGTCTGCCAGGTGGACAACGACCACAAAGAAGCTGTGGGCAAGATGGGGTTTGTCATGGTTGGTATGGTCCCAGGGTGTCTGCTTACCCTTAACCCAGGCCAGCACAGTTCCCTTGCAGCCGTTCACCCAATGCATCCAGCTGTGATCCAGCCTCTCAGTATCACAGGAGAGAACCAGTGTCCCAGTAGTGCTAACCCTTCCTGGAGCCCCCTTTGCTTGCTTACCAGCACTGGAAGTCATGATCCCAGAGACTGCCTGGGAGGGCAGGGAAGCACTGTAACCTTATACAGGTTATACCTCCTCACCACATCATGTTATTTCCACAGCTGGTACCACCATGTGACTTGCTCCTTCTCTTCCTCTCCAAGTTTGCATCAGCTTCCCAGCTCATGTCCACCCATGTCCCTCACCTTTTCCAAGAGCTGCAGAGGCCAGTGCTCTGGTGCAGTTATGTCACATCCCAGACTTTGTCATACAGATCAAAACTGACTCAACCACAAACTCAACAGTTCAGGGACTGACATAGTTCATCTCTGTAAATACCTGCAACTTTGAACATAACCCAGTCCCAGTGGTTTAAAGAAAGAGGTACCAAGTAGGCTCTCTACAAAGGATCAAAATTGAATATGCCTGAAAATTGGCCACTGCAGTACCACAGCAGCTAAGTTTTAGCTCCATGATTTCTAAACTGTTTCTCACTCTTCCCTTCCTTTGCCCACAGACAATGCTAAAGTTGATTCAGAAGAAGTTGGCTGATAAAACGGTGAGTGTTTCTCCAAAAAAACATATACACAGAGTATTTTCTCTTCAGTCCCACTTAGGCCTGGAGATCAGCCCAGAGTGCCAGCTCAGCTTCTCTGACAAACACAAGACATCTCAGCTGATGCTGCAGAATTTCTTGTCTCAGGCTGAGGGCAGGGGAATGTGACAGGGAGACAAAAATATTAAACAAAAAAAAACACTTGCTGACAAATTGAAAGTGAATAACAAGGTTTTCTTACCTCTGGAGCCATCTGGGGTGATGCCAGAGGAAATAAGTAGTTGGTCTGCGTCAGGCTTCCACATTAGCAAAGCTCTGATTCTGTCCCTTCTTTGACTCTCTAGTGTGATCAGGTGATGGAGTTCTCCTGGAGTGCCCTATGGAACATCACTGATGAGACCCCAGATAACTGTGAGATGTTCCTTAACTACAGCGGCATGAAACTGTTCTTGGAGTGCTTGAAAGTAAGTGTGATTGTCTCTGGGGAGAGGCTGACACAAGCAGTGGAGATGTAGGTGCCTGGATAGGATCCCTGGCTCTGCTTCTCTCCAGGGAGTACTTCCTGCATTGCACAAATGGAAAAGTAAAAGCTTGTCTATGTTCTTCTCACATCCTTCCACCCAGCAAGTAGAACAGAGGAACTCAACACATCTTCCTCTTTCCCCAGCTTTGCTCAGTTCCCCTGAGCAGAGCAGCAGTGAGAGTGAACAGAGGGCCCTGGTCTCAACTCTCATATGAAGGTACACTTCATATGTACCTTTAGCGCTCGAGATCCCATTTGGCTCCTGCTAAGGAGCCATTCCCGACTTCCCAAAAGTGCTCAGCCTTTCTAGATGTGCTGTACAGCCTTTCCCCAGGGTTGCTTGTTCTTGGCATCACTGTGGCCCTACCTGTATGTAATCCTGTCCTTTGCTCATCCAGGAATTCCCAGAGAAACAGGAGCTGCACCGCAACATGCTGGGCCTCCTGGGCAACGTGGCAGAGGTGAAGGAGCTCCGCCCGCAGCTCATGACCTCCCAGTTCATCAGTGTGTTCAGGTGAGTGCCTGGCTCATCAGCTGGGCCTGGAGCTCTGCTCCTCCATCACCTGGAGACTCCTAAACCTTTGCTGCTTCAGCACCTCTAAGTGATCTCGTCTGCCTTGGCAGCAACCTGCTGGAGAGCAAAGCCGACGGGATTGAGGTGTCCTATAACGCCTGTGGAGTGCTCTCCCATATCATGTTTGATGGTCCAGAGGCTTGGGGGATCTGTGAGCCCCACCGAGAGGAAGTTGTGAAGAGGATGTGGGCAGCCATCCAGAGCTGGGATATCAACTCCAGGAGAAATATCAATTACAGGTGAGGAATAGGAAAAGTTTGGCCCACTCCTGGAGCCAGGATTGTCACAGGAAGCCAACACCAACAGAGAGAATGGAAGAGATATAGCCCAGCATGGAGGCTCTGTTCAAAGTGAGGGAGGAACATCCTCAGGGATATTCTTTAGTGAGGGTTTTACATCTTCCTCTAAAATATGTTACACAAGCTGCTGAAATTAGACACCTTACCTGGCAATTCCTATGGGAGAAGTTTGGGAGCCCAACAGAATTTCTCTTGCATGTTTCTGATGAAATTGAGTAGCTCAGGAAACCCATGATCTGTCTGGGACTGCCTAAGCATGGTGCTCTGAGACTGCTGTCCTTTGCAGCTCCTTAAGTGTTTGCTTCCCAAAGTCATGTGCTGTAGCTTTCACTCTCGGGCATATTTAGACATAGTTCCCAGAAATCCCTTCATGTGTTTATACAACTGCTGGGATCATCCAAAACCCTTTTTGTAAGAGGGTATCAGGTACTCAGTATTCCCTTAGTGCTTGGCAGGGATCCAGAACTGGCATTCCAGTGCCTGCTCCACAGTATAGACGTGTCATTGTCAGAAGAAACACAGCAACCCTTGCACATGCTTTGCCTGGGTATAGCTTGGCTTTATCCCCTCTACAGATTGATCAGTGCTGGGTTTCAGCTGTCATGAGGAAATGACTGATGGAGGATGGAAATTAGATTTTGGGCTCAGTCACCCTCCTAGCAGCTATTTATCTGGGCAGTGTTTGTGCTGAAGTGGTGGGGTCTGTAATCCTGCCAGCACTGCCCTGGGACACAGACTTAGCCTTGGTGCCAGAATCTTTGGTGTGCCAGTGGGTTTACTGCTGTGACATCTGTGAGCAGTTTGTATTGCTGTGAGTGGTGAAGGTGCTGAAAGAAGCTGCTCTCGGATTTTTAACAACTTCTGTAATATTTCTGTGCAGGTCATTTGAACCAATCCTCCGACTTCTTCCGCAAGGAATCTCCCCAGTCAGCCAGCACTGGGCCACCTGGGCACTCTATAACCTGGTCTCTGTCTACCGTAAGTTCCCTTTCTGAAATCACGTCCCTTGCACTGTAGAACTTGAGGGGGTGGCTCTGAGGCTGTCAGCAGAAAAAGTCTTCCCAGTTAAGCTATGCAGGGGGAGAAAACCTTTTTTGAATGATGCAGGAATGTCCAGGCAGCGGAGCCAAACAAAAACAATGAGACTTGGTGTGTAGGAAATTCCTTCACTGTTTTGATCGTTCTCCTTGCCCTCCTGCCACCCTTTGTACCCCTCTTGTGAGGGCTCACAAGGGCCTGTTTCATTCTTTTCTCTGCAGCTGACAAGTACTGCCCGCTGCTGATCAAAGAAGGTGGGATCCCTCTCCTGAAGGACATGATCAAAATGGCCTCAGCACGGCAAGAGACCAAGGAAATGGCCCGGTAGGACACCAGAGCACTGTCACAAACATCCAGTTTAGCTTTACTTTAGTTTTTATTCTTCCACATCAAGTGAGGCTGCCAAAGCATTGATGTGTGCAAGTGGTATGAAGTGAACACAGGAAAAATAGGTGAAAAGAGAAGACTAGAGGTGTTTGTAGGTGGGCAGTGCACACAGGTCATTGCCAGGCAAATTGGTTACAGAATTGGCTTGTTGGTCAGGGGAGCCACATGACTAATTGCAGCTCTTAGGCCAATAGTCTCCAGTCATCACTGTCTGTCTCCAGAGTCATATTGGTCTGTCACTAAAACTACTGACTGCACAGTTAAAATGAGAACATTTTTCAAAAGGTAGAGAGAGTCCATCACCTTTGTGAGCTTCCCCAGTTACGTGACCTTCTTTTGGAGTCATCTGTTCAGGGTTTTAAAAGCCAGCTGCAGTCTCTGGTCATTGGCAGAACGAGAGCTGTAATTTCATACCTGCAGGATGAATATAAAAGAGGTAGGGATGGGCTGGGAACACATACCTGGTGGGTGGGCAGCAGGTATTCCCACAGCTGAAGGGTCACTAAGCGCTGGAGGGGACTGGAGCCTGCAGAAGACAGTCACAGTTACACACAGTGTGTGTTTATGGCACAGGTGACAGCACAGTGAATGACAGACATTTGTGTGCATGTGTTTCCTGCTGTGATTCAAAGGTATTTGAGGATTTGGATATGGGGGTGGTGAATGAACAGTCACATGTGGATCTGGATGTGCACTGCTGTGACTTGACATTCCAGACTGGGAGCTCTAAGCTGCTGTTGTGGAGTTTACTGGTTTTGACACAAAGAGGATAAAGTTACACAGAGATCAACTGTGGGACAGTTCTTACCTTACTGTCTCACAACTGGGTGCAATAAGCTTTACACTAAACCCTTTCTCCTTGTCCTTGTTTTATCCATAGGAAAGTTATAGAGCACTGCAGTAACTTTAAGGAGGAGAACATGGACACTTCCAGATAGAGGCACTGACCCAATGCCTCTTGCCAGCACTGTATCCAGCTTCTCTCTAACTCACTGTACATAGGGAGGACTCTTTCTTACCAACTCGCCCGTTGGAAGGAAACTTTGTGTGTGTGTGAGACCCTCAGTAGATGAAGGTGAACAGAGGAGGGGGGAGGGACTTTTTGCACAACAAAATGCTTTCCTTACCTTAGTGAACTTTTTTTGTTATGAAGTTTCAGGTTGAAGTTCCGTGTGTATGATTTCTGTATAAAAAGAAAACAAAAAACAAAGACAACTACATTATGTATCTTTTAACCTTTTTGTTTTAGACCACACAGAGAGCCTCAAATGACCATGAGCTTGAAGACCTAGTTGTGTGATCACTAGTGTGACATGTTTATTTCCCACTTTTTAGAGAATTCCCTTTTGCTGTACTGCATGAGGTCCTGTAATGTCTGCAAGAACACCAGTCCTGAATCAGCACTGGCTGCTCAGTGGGGCTATGGGCAGGGATGAGTTATTTATTTGGTCAGAGAGGTTGGGGGACACAATACCAGAGAGACAGACCAAAAGAACTGACCTTTTAGTGATATTTATACATGGAGAAAATAGGGAAGAAAGATCTTTTAAGTTAATTCACTCCCTTAAGGGTTTTTTATAGAAGACTCACATTAATGGAAGCACTGCTAACATGTATGTGGGTCATCCAGAAGTAAGACATTCCCAGTAAAGTCAAGAGGTCTGTTTTGTCCCCACTGGCAGTACAGTAGGATCTGCCAGCCCACCCACCCTCATAAGGTCAGGGATGAGTAAAACCAGTTACATATTCTTGGCTACAGAGAGCTTTTCTCTCAAAGGGAGCCTGTGCAAGAAGGCACCAGGTTTGTTCATAAAGGGCTACACATCTTCATTCCAGACCTTCACCACCTTTTAGTTGTGTTTCTTTTGTGGGGAAGGGCTACAAAGCCAGAGTATTTCCCTCTGCATAATAAACTCTCCCAGGCCCTGATCCAGAACAGTTGTACCCCTCATGCAAGTCCCAGGAATGGCCTGGAGCTGCTCTGCTCTTCCTCAGTCTGCATCAGCACAAGCTGTGCTCAGTGGCACAGTAATTCCCCTGTGCAGGACTCTGACTGCAGCACAACTGCTGGAATTGGAGGTGTTGAAGTCCTCTCCTCAGAGTGGGGAGTCTCCATGCACCCCTTGGAGGGCAATCCCATGAAATAGCCCCTCTTGTTCCACTTTCTTCTTGGAAGCAGAAGGCCCTACTCCTGTCTGACTCCAGCAGCACTTCCCAGTGCAGCCCCACTCCCATCAGCAGCTTTACTGCAGTTTGTGATGCAGGTGAGAGGAGCTGGTCTTCACCTGTAACACTCCAGTCCTGTAAGGGCTCCAGAAGCTGAAGGTTCTCCCAGCCAGACACTCTAAGCACAGTGTGCAGCTCATGCTTAGAGCCCACTGCTCACCACAGCTCTTTGACAAGTCACAAATCTTCCCTTACAAGGGACTTGGAAAAGATTTTATGCCTGGTAGCAGGAGAGGAGCCCACAGCCACGTGAGGTGGGACATTTCAGGCCTCTCAGCACAGTAACTCGCTGCTCTCTGCCCTCGGACACGTTGCTCTCAGATTTGACTCGCTGCTATGAGGTTCTGCTAATGCTCAGAGTTCATGTTGTCCTTGTGAGCACGTTAGAGACAGATCCTTGATCCACAAACTGACACTTTAACTGACAGAACACAGCTGCCTGGACAGGTTTACTTTTTCTGCCAATACGGTGTTATTCAATGTCTTTTTTTTTTTTTTCTTTTTAACCATATGTCATTTGTTTGGTATTGTGAGATCTGTACTTTTTTTCTTTTAAGTATTTTTCAAACTTATATATATTTTTGTGTCACTTTTGAATTGTTTTCTTAAGATTTGCAAAACTTGACAAATTATACTTTTTTGCAGTCTTTTAAAATGTATTTTTCTCTCTCTTGTTCCTGTTCCCCAAGAATTTGTGTCTCTAAAGCTTTGAGATGGGGAAGCTTATTTCAAGATCTGTTTTCTGTGTAACATTTGCTGATCTTCCTTCTAGATGCAAAACTAAGAGGGGCTGCAAATACTGCCAGGCAGCCTTGGTGTGTTAGGGGAGTCAAGTTTTGCTCTTTAATTCCATTTAGTGCTGCTGTCCTGAAGTTGTTTCACTTGACAGTGCTGCCCACCAGGTTTGCTTCGTTCCAATGCCCATGTAGTGAAAGCTCCTGCCACTAAAATCTCGAATCACCTGACAAAAAGCACTGAGGATTCTGACTGTTAGCAAGGAGGGAGTGGAGAAGAAGGGGACATGTCACAGGGGGAGAGGTATCAGAAACCCTTGTCCCCAGAATGCAGCTGCCACCCTGGGGAAACAGTGGCACTCCCATCTCAGCTGGAGCAGAGCTCAGCCTTGCATTGCAATCTGTGCAGTCAGGCTTTTCTCTGAGATTTTGGCACAACTACATCAAGGCTAATGAACAACCAGTGACTTGGTTCCATCTGCCTCAAGACCCCAAAGGTTTGGGTTTTTCAAACCAGTGCCCCCCCAAGTTCAGCTGTTACTGGGGTCTCACCTGCTGCATCCCAAACTAACAAGCTCCAAGCTGCACCAAAGCTTTGTTTCCTACTGTAAACCTCTGTCCTCACTGCTCACAGCCCCTCAGCAAGCTGTACCTGAACCAGGATAAAAAGACTTCAAATTCCCAGCAACAAGGAGATTAATGGAGTCAGGCCAGGCTGCCAGAAAAGCTCAATCTGAGCTGAAATCTGTTACTGATCCCAGGGGAAGGGGGAACTACAACTGGGCAATTACAGCAAGCTACACATCAGACTTTGAGTCAGGCCACAGCAAGGTAAATTCCTGAGACAGCACGTTAAAAGAAGTACCATCCCTCTTAGTCACATGAGCTTTGCCTACAAGCTTCCATGTCTTCAAGCCAAGAATTTGTGAGCTGAAAAATAACATTTCCCCTTCAGTAAGGAGCAAAAGAGAGAAAGGTATCCTCTGAACACCTGAGCACAATCCAGGAATTCTGTAATTGGAAGTCTGAAATGAGTTTGTACCACAGTTTCCCTAACTGAAACAAGAGGCATGACCTGAAAGCACTTTTTGGAGACAGAATTAATTGCTGCCATAGATCCAGAGCTGAGGACAGAACAGGAGAGCTGCCTGCAGATATCCTAACAGTGTTCTGCAAGGAGGGGAGGGCAAAGTGGCTGATTTTTTTTATGAAGGTCTAATGTAAAAGGGGAAGTCAGATACCCTGAAATGTTTGCCTGTTCCAGGGAAGCCTCAGACCTTCCAGCCTTGCTGGATCAAAGGAATAAACCAGGAGACTTTAACTCCACACAGAATCATAGAGCCAATCACCAACCCTGCTCAGAAAACCAGAACAGGGTTGTCACCAGAACTGTCAAGATCCAGCTTCACTTGGATCACTTGGAGAGAAGTTCATCATGAGTAAACACGTGGCAGAGGTGCTCCTTGTGCTCAGTAGTTGTTGGCCCACCCAGACTCTTCATGATTTCACTACTACATTTCCTTTAATATTGCAAAGCTTGGCAAGCAGAGCACGAACACAACTCAGTAGCTCCCTGCAGAGACTGTGCCAACAAAGGATCCCTCTGCCTGGACTGTGTAGTTTCCTCCCTGGCTGGAGGCTGCCCTGTCCTTCAGTGGCCCTTGGCTCAGCAGGCAGTGCTGGGCAACTTCCAAATTGCTGGGCAACTTCCCACAAGTGCTTCCATTTTACAAGATCTGTGGGAGGAATTGCTTCTAAGGACTGGCATCTCCTTCTATGATGCCTAACACCCAGCAGCACCAGACTTTCTCATCTAGACCAAGCCAGGCAAGTTTAGCACTGATATTTGTGGCAATCAGAGCACTGCAGATAATCCATCTGCACCATGGCTGCTGTTTCCCTGCACCTTCCTACTGAAATGTTTCTCTTCAGCACTGAATCCTACCCAGCTTGTCACCTTGGCTGGGCTGCTGCTGCTGTCACTCTGGTCTCTGCAAAGGATGAGTGGGAAGAAAAGTCTTGGAGCTGTGAGCTGAGTTCCTCTCATCACCTGAAGAAGGCAATTAATTACCACTAGGACAAGAGCTCCAGGGGCACTGCAGTCAGGCACTATCCATAGAAAAAACATTTCCTTGAGACTGTTCAGGGAGGAGCCTGCCACAGCTCAGGTGTCAGAGGGCAGCTTGTGCTAGAAAAAGAGAATTAAAAGTAGGGAAACAGCTGGTCTCCACGACAACCATGTGCATGAAGCACAGAGGGCAATAGTCATCAGGGATGGATGAAAAGGAACATGGGGGCTGGAGAAGACAGCGCTTAAATAAGGGTTGAGGGAGATTTCCTGCTGAACTGAAACACTTCTGCTTTAGCAGACTTTGGTTTGATTTCATATACTTGCCACTGATTCTCTCTGTAACTCTTTTCTTGTTTTTAAAGAAGTTTTTAAGCTAACCAAATATGTATTTCCTTGTTTTGCTGAAAGAAAATACCCTCCGTTATAACGAGTGTCTGCTTTTACTCTGTCCGTGGACCTGCCTGATGTGGGGGCCTGGTTCAAATGTTTGTACGTGGTGAAACCCAGCAAAAAAAATCAAAATGCACAACTGCTGCTTCCTTACAATTCTGAATGAATTAACTTTTCTGTTGTATCCATTGGATACCCGCTGTGTATTAAACCTAGTGCTCAACAGTGTCTTCTTCCTTTGGTCTGTGGATGTGGTTTATTTAGGTACATTACTGGGCCATTTGCTGTCAAATATCTCATTACAAATGAAAGGAACTGCCATGTGTTGATGGTGCAGTTCAGTGGCTTTGCCTTTCATCACTCCAAGGGATACAATACTGTTTGTCAACAGAAAAGAGATGTGGAGGAAGAGAGTATTGTTAGGAGATTGTGTGAGAGGAGAATAAAAAAATCAGGACAATATCTGAGTGTACAGATTGCTCTGAACTCCATAACAGATCTGCAGCTCACACTCTGCAGCCCTGGCTTTGTAAGTGGGCAGAAGCTGAGCACTTAAGAAAAGCCTCTGGGTTAAGCCAGTCAATCTGCTTTAAGGCCAGCGTGACTTTCTTCTTAAGACCCTGGTCCTGCAAGGGCTCAATTGCCAGTTAATTCAGTGGTCATTGTGGAGTCTAAAGGATCAGACTCCGGGTGAACAGAGTGGGAGGGGGAATCATATGAAACTGAACTGCCTCTGAAAATGTGCCCTGTTGTAAGAGGACAGAGAGATGGCATGGAATTCCTAGCTGGAATGCCATAAGAACCTAGAATCTCCACTCAGAAACTCGCTATTAGAGATTTTCTGGAACTGAGCCTAATTTCAACCACTCGCTGAGGCTGAAACCCTTGAGACAAAGATGAGCTCTGATCTCTGCAAGACAGGTTTCACAGCTGAAGGAGAAGATAAAAAGAGTAACATGCACCAAATTATTTTAATCACAAAGAGAGTGAGAATACACTCCTTAGGACAGATTGTTCTAGAACATCAAAATGTTTCTACTTTCAAGTGGATAATGTTACTACTCAAATTGCCTTTATTAAGCTTTAAAATTTACACCTCTCTGCAAGGAAGGAAGGACACTACCCACCTTTTTTTCAAGCACCAGTACAGTCTGTGAGGTGTCTGAGGGAGGATAGCTGTAAGTTTTGCATTTACCTGGAATAAAAAAAAAATTAAAGCAAAAGGGTTTGAATGATTATTGAAAATTTTGTCTACAATTTTTATTAACATTTCAACCCAGCTGTCTCAGGTGAACCATTTAAGTGACCCACACAGCCAGGTGCTTTCCTGGAATCAGCAGGTAGCCACTGACTTAAATAGACCAAAATAATGAATTTATGGGCAAACAATATCAAGGAATCAGCTACTTTTAAGGTGCTGGAGGGTAAATTTAGAAAGAATAGGATTTTTCTTTCCAAATTTTCACTGAGAAGGAAGGTAACAAAAGCAGCAAGGTTTATTTGTGTTAAAACTGAAAATAGTGTAAAGAGAAAACACTGATTTTGGAACTATTACAGGCCTGTGATGAGATTCATCTCCCCTAAACTAACAGACACTCCAAGTGTAAATACGTACATCTAAGCTATAGTCACCTTAGCTTTTTTTACTGTTAGCAAGAGACATGTGGGGTGCAATTCAACTGCTTTTAGATGCCTGTTTCAGCTGAGAAGGGCCATTCTCTAAACACACTTGCTTTGCTCTGCAGGCCGTCCAATGCCCTCACTCAGCCAGGAGCCTCTTCAGTGCAGACATCCCCGGCCAGACCACATCCCTCCTCGAGTTATGTCGGGCATTCTCCAGGCTCCGTTCTGTTCATGGGGCCCTGTAACCGCGTCCAGCCAGGCACGGCCTCTGTGCCTCTTCCCGGGGGATGGAAATGAACACGTGGAATGACCACATTGGCAAGACTGGAGTTAATGCAGTGCAGCACCTCAGGCACCACCTTGAGCAGCCTTCGAACGGCACCCGCTGCCTGACCCATCTCTGCCAGACCCTTCCATGGCTCCCAGACCCTTCCATCACTCTGCACACCCAGCAGTGCCCGCCCTGGTGTATCGGAGGTGCCGAGCACTGTGCCCAGTCCCGCGCTCCCCACACCCGCTGGCACAGCCCGGCAGAGTCATTGAGAGCCCGGGCTCGGGGCGGGAAGGGGCTCAGGGAAAACACCGAATCCGAGTCGGAAGGGGCCTCTGGAGATCATCCAGTCCGACACCTTCCTCGGGGAAAGGCCCCGGGGCGCTGGGCCGGCTCGCTGGGCACAACACGGGCGATGTGTGTGGGAGGACAGGCCCGCGGGCTGCAGCGGGAAAAACCGGGAGTGGTGGGGAGGAAAGAGAGCCCGATTCTACAGGGCAGCAGAGCCTGAGGGCAGCGGCACCCGCGAGGAGCAGGGAAGCGATGCCCGTGCCCCGCGGAAGCCCCGCCCGCCGGGCCGGCACAGGCCGCCCTGGCCCCGCCTCGGGGCGCTGCCCGTGCCCCGGCCCGCCCCGCCCGGGTCCCCTCCGGCCCCGCCCGGTCCCTTCCGGGCCGGCGGAGCCCCGGGGCCGCCGCGGTGCCTCCATGGGGCCCGGCGGGCGCTGGGTGCGGGCGGCACACACGGCCCTCAGCGCGGCCCTGACGCTCGGGCTCCTCCTGAACCGCACGGGTGAGGCGGGGCCGGGCCGGGCCCGCTCCACCCCGGGGGCACCGGGGGCCGGGGATCGGTGCGGGGCTGTGCGGGCCCTGCCCCCCGGCACGGCCCGGGGCTGCCCCCAGGGCAGGGGAGGGTGTGGGGAGCCCCTTCTCAGCCTCTCCCCGCTCACCCCGCCCCGTTTCTCCCCGTAGGTGCGGGATCCCTTTGCTAAGGCCAGAGGGAAGCATCCCGGACGCTTCACAAGGAGCTGCTGCTCTCTCTCTTTTGGGTACCTTTCAGATCTGCGCGAGCAAGAGGAGCGCGGGGAGCTGCTGCAGCCGCTCGTCTTCGTCCTGCTGGTTCTGTGCTCCGTCCTGCTGTACTTAAAAGTGTCTCTCATGGATCCCGGTTTTGTTAAGCCTGAAGAGGAAGCAAAGGTAAATCCCTTCATAAATGAACAAAGTGGTTGAGGCTGTAAAGTCCATAGGCTTCTCTTCTTTTTCCGCTCTGCAAGATAAGAACAGCGTGAAATAGTTTCTGTTGTGCTGGCGTGAAGGAAACACACACAGACCATCAGAGATGAGACCAGACAGCCTCACATTCGTATTCTGTAACAACAGCAAAAGGGTTCAGACTTTAAATGTGCCTTTCACACCACACTGACCTTGTAAGTGACTGTGCCATTTGAGCCCAAGTCCTCTCTTCCAGCAGAGGCTGCAGTGCCCTATAGAATGTGTACATGACCTATTTTATTCTAACTGCTGCTTAAGTGGTACGAGTGCACAAAAACCTAAATTGAAGGGCAGGCTTGGCAGACAGTGCTTTCTGCAGCCGTTTATTGAACTGTTTATGGATTTGTTGCTCTCTCAGAGGACACGCACACAAACAAGTTACAGTGAGATAAACGGAGATGCAAAGTTCCAGTAACTGATAGTCTGCCTGAGGTTCACTGCCTGCCAGACTGTGCAGGACAAAAGCATGATCAGTCTTGGTCCTCCATCATTAATGTGAGTGTGGCTGTGGATGAATAAGTAGCACTGCTTATACTGAAAAGACATCATTATTGTGTTTGGAAATGAAATCTTGTTTTTGTCCCAAAGTGTGTCTTGTCCACAGTTATTTCTGCCTCTGTGCAAACATTCTTTGTGTGGTTACCGGAGCCCCTTCTCTCACTGTGCCACAACTGCAGCGTCTCTAGGAATTCCAAGGAATTATTTTAACTTTCCTAATGATAGAGATAACCAGCACTGTGGTGCAGTAAGGCAGCTCTGTCGTGCCAAGACAGCACCACACAAACCTTCCTCTGTCTCTTTTTTGCAGGCAGGGGAGGCTGAAGGACAGGGCCTGGTGATCCCCCAGGCTACGGGTGACGTGAAGCTGCGACGCTGTGGTTACTGCCTGGTGAAGGTGGGCATCCAGAACATGCTGGAACAGGATGGGATGAGTGATCTGAAAGTTCAGCTGCTGCTGTTGGTGTTTTTCTGTTCCATCAGTGCTGCTCACAGGAGGCTGGGCAGATTGTGTAGCTACACATGGAGTAGTGATGGACACTGGCACAAAGGCCAGTTTTCCAAGGCTGGAAGTCCCTGCTGGCTTGTAGAAACAAGGATCTTCTTTTGCCATGGAAAAATTGTATTCTACATTCTTACTGCCATGTCAGCCAGTGTCAAGAAGGTTATTTTGAACATACCTTGATAGTCAGAAGGGCAGTTGAAGGCCCTGTGTGAACTGATCATCATTGAGAGCTTGTTTGGAGGCCTTAAAACAACAGAACATTGGCCTGGATGGTAAAAGACAGCATGAAGGAGAAATTAGAGCAATTTAATTAGCTCTTAAAACAATTTGCCTAAAGCCTAGAGAGGCCTGTTTTCAGAGTGATCCTTATCGGTTTAATAAAATTAAGGATTATCCCAGCTTCCATAAATTCCTAAAGAATATCTACCAGGAGAAGTGAGCTTATTGCAGGAGGAAAAGCTGGCAAAGCATTTCTATGCTTCAGGGCACAAATCTTAGGAATCACTACTTTTCTCAGTCAGGTCTTTCATCTTTTCTGTTCCTGCTATTTGAGCTGCTTTCCTGTGCAAGTGTCTTGTACTGACAGAATCAGACACTTCCCTCCTCTGTGCATCCCTTAAAACATCCCAGCCCTGCCCACTCTATTCAAGAGCAGTGGTCCTAGTTTCTCACCTCAATAGTCTGCTCGTGCTTTCCTGAATGGACTCATGGGCTCTGTCTCCCTCCGTGGCACACTGGACTTCCTATAAATATGTAGATAATAAAGATGTGTAGATAGAAATAATGTGTGAGAGTCACTTAGTTTGAACCTCACCCATTTGGGTCTGTACCAGGGGAATCACAGACCCCCTAGAGCTGTTCTTAGCAATGCTGATGTGCTGTTGTCTCACCCTGGAGTGCTTTAGGGACAGGACTGCTGTGGAGGAAGAGTTTTGCATGATGTTCTGTTCTACCAAGCAGGGAGTGGGACAGCACTACTGCAGTGACTACTGCCAGTGAGTTTTTTTCTTTTTCTGATTGATTGCCTCTGTTTTGCAGCAGCCCATGAGAGCCAGGCACTGCCAGCTGTGCCAGCACTGCGTGCGGCGCTACGACCACCACTGCCCCTGGATTGAGAACTGTGTGGGGGAAAGGAACCACCCCCTCTTCATAGCCTACCTGACTGTGCAGCTGGTGGTTCTGCTGTGGGGAGGCCACATTGCTTGGTAAGGGCAGGAGGTGGCTGGAAGTTGTGGTGCTCCTTGAGGTCCACGGAAGGGTTGGTGCAGAACATTGGATTGGTTTTGGATCTTCACCGTCTTTTGCATCCTGAAGGCCCTTAATCTTGAGCAGAATCTGATAATTTAGGTTTCATTGTTCATTTTGCTTCAGTTACTGATCTTTGTTTACAAATCCAAGTGCTGGAAACTCCATCAGGGTTCCAGGTGTTCAGGAGAGGAGTTAACTCAAGGCGATTGTCTCTCAGCTGTCAGGGGAACCAGCATTTCTGAACTTCTTAGATTCCAATCCCTACAGGTGCAGTCTCTCAGGACTTTACAGTATATTAACTCTGTGTAGTAAAGGATTATCAGCAGCTCACTAGTTATGAATCAAACTTAAATGTGCCATCAGGTTTATGGAACTTATTCTGCTCCTTTAACTGCAGATTTATTTCTCTTTGAATCGAAAGGTCAGGCCTCTACTTTCAACAGTCCTGGGAATGGCTGAAGTACAACATTTTCCTCCTGCTCTCCTTCCTCCTGATAGTCATATTCACCACTGTGGTCCTGCTGCTGCTTGTTTCCCACCTGTACCTCATCTCGTGCAACACCACAACCTGGGAGTTCATGTCCCACCACCGCATCTCCTACCTGCGCCACTCCGAGCTGGAGAATCCCTTTGACCAGGGGATAATCCTCAACCTCTGGAGATTCTTCTGCTCACGGCACCTCACTGCATGGGAGCAAATCTATTTTCACAGGAACAGTGAGCCTGTCTAGTCCCAGGAGTACCAACACACCTGCAGGTTGCTGGGCAGAGCTTTGCTCGTGCAATTGCTGCTGCTTCCTTGCACTGAACTTCAACACATCATGGACTGTGCAACCTGCTCCACAACCTGCTCGTCCTGCAAAGTACATTTCAGGGATAGCCAGGGTTATTTTTTATATACAAATAACACTGTTAAAGATGAGACACTGGTTCTGGGAAGGCCAAGGCCAGCAGAGCTGATTTCTGGTCTGAGCAAAGGTATCTCTCTAAATTTACTTCCTTTTCTTAACTGCACCCACACCTCCTGAAGAATTCTCTTCCCTGAGGTCTCCCTTTCCTTTTGCTGCTAGGAAAAAGCAGCAATTACAGACAAAACCAGCCAGGTTCAATATAATTCCTGTGGCCTTTCTTCAGCCTTGTTCTGACTGTGAGAACTACAGTGCCTTTTGTCAGTAGGACTGGGCATGAAACAGAAATACTTGAGTAAATATTTAGACAGTCAAAAGCAAATTTCATTTCATCCACATGCCTCAAGTTAATGCTTTCCACAAAGCTTTGAGGCTTAACACTGTTAATGTGCATGAGAAACAGCTGTAAGACACCCAATTCAGCTTATGAGATAATTAGCCTGTACTTTGTGATGCCCTGAGCAGCTTCCTCACAGCTTTTTAAGTTGATGCTGCTGTTACCAATTCACAGGCTATTTTGAACCAAGTCAGCAAAGAATAATACCATCCACTTTTCTCTGGATAGAAAAGTTATGCTTGGCTACTGAGTTATTGGTAAAACTACTACTACCTCAACATACTAGTGAGATTTTAATAAAAGAATACAATTTCAGTGCAAGAGGAAAGCTGCCAGGTCCTGGTGGATGAGACGAGGAGTGCTGACAGCTTCCAGGACAGCAGCAAGTGTACTTGTTTTCCATTGAAATAAAAGGTCATACTTCAATTTTCCATGGGATATTAAAAGGAAGTTTGGGATGGCCAACTTCAGCTTTAAAAACAGAGAAGGCTGTGGTGTCAATTTTAGTCCTGACCCTTTTCTGTTAAAAACAAAACAAAACAACCGAACACCAAAAAACACCACAACAAAATGTTAGTTACAATTATTTTGTGCCTTAATTGCCTTGGCTCAGGAACTGACATCAGCTCAGGAACACATCTGGCAAGCCAGGAGGATGCACTCAGGGTTTAAAGTTAATGAACACTCATGAAAGGACAGTGTAGTCACTAAGACAGCATGACAGTCCAAAAGCAGTTCAAAACCAGCAGAAGATTCCTTTTTTGACCAAGTCCAGAGTTTGTGATCAGTTCCCAGTCTGCTTTGTTCAGGGTAGAAGCTCTTATGAGGGATACAAAAACACTAAGGGTTGTTTTTGTGACACTGTAATAGCATCCAGAATGGATTCTGTAGTTTGTTGGTGTCACTGTGGTGCCTGCTGAAGTCTGGATCACCTTTTCTGGCTCTTAAGGTATCAGTCAAGTCGAAATTTGTCAGCAGATACTACAGCTCAAAGCACAGTTTTGCTCTCTTTGGTAATTACTTTTAAAAAGCACTGGGATGATAATTTACCTTTTTTTTTCACTCTAAATTATAAAATAAAATATTAAATATGCGTTTTTTAATTCTTCATGCCTCTCTCTTTGAACCCAAGTTCTACGTTTCACCTGTGCTAACAATCCAGTGTGCTACTTCCCACTTCACAGTGGCCTTGACCTTAAGAAAAGCCACAAAACACACCACAGGGGCCAACAGCCAACTGTTACCACTCAAACAACAGCAAGGAAAACGTGTATCCTGCTCCAAAGGGGCCAGTGTCCTGCCAGTCTGAGCAGGAGGTTGAAAGGACCTTTGTAGGAGGGAATTTTCAGCAGCAGTTATAC